GCATTGGGATATACACCTGAGGTGGGATTCAAATTTTTTTACTACCAGTTCTGTGTGCGTGGCTTGGTGGGCATGGCAGGGGGAGGATACTGCAAAATCCCCATTCCCTCCCCACCCCACTAACCTGTATTTTCTTTAAATTTAAAACTATAGAGTACAGGTAATCCTCGACTTGCAACTGTTCATTTAGTGATTGTTCAAAGCAATGGTGGGATTCAATTTTTTTTTACTACCAGTTCTGTGGGTGTGGCTTGGTGGACGTGGTGTGGCTTGGTGGGCATGGCAGGGGAAGGATATTACAAAATCCCCATTCCCTCCCCACCCCACTCCATTAACCTGCTTTCCAGCTCTGTTCTCCTGGGCAGGGCAACAGAAGAAGAGCCAGCCGATCAGCTGGGACTCAATGGGAGACAGAGAATAGGTGGGGGCAGTGCCAGTAAGAGGTGGTAATTGCTGGTTCTCCGAACTACTCAAAATTTCCACTACCAGTTCTCCAGAACTGGTCAGAACCCGGTGAATACCTCCATAATGTTTAACGCAACAGCAACCAACAACAGCTGGAATTCCGAGCATTGTAGTTCTAGTACATTTGCAGACAGTTTGAGAACGTTTGCTGGCAGGGAGACTTAACAACAGAGTATGACAGAATAACAGAGTTGGAAAGGACTTTGGAGGTCTTCTGGTTCAACTCCCTGCTCAAGCTGGAGACCCTATACCCGTGTTGGCGAACCTATGTCATGCATGCTGGAAGTGGCATGCCAAGCCACTTCTGCCGGCATGTGAGAGCTCGTCCGGGAGAGCCCCACTGCACATGCGTGCGCTACCACCGCCCGACAGCTGATTGTTGGGTATCTGGTGTGCGTGAGGGGGGGAATGGGAGACACACGTGAATGTGCAGAGATGCACGATGCATGTGGGGGGGCGCGCATGCACAGATGGATGGTGCATGGGGGTGATTGTGTATGCATGCACAGATGCACAGCGTGCGGCGGTGGGAATTGTGTGCGCAGGCTCAGTGGTGTGCGGCACATGGCAGAATCACAGATGTAGTCGCATGGTGCGTGGCAGAGGGACTGCGCACACATGCGCAGAGGGTGTTGGGGGGCAGCACGCATTGCCTTCTGGGTGCTGGCATGCAAGAGTGAGCACACGAGCGTGCGCGCAGTTATTGGCACAAGAGCAGCAAAAGGTTTGCCACTACTACTCTATACTATTCCAGACAAATGGCTGTCCTATCTCTTCTTAAAAGACTCCATAACTCCATTGTTAAAGGCAAATTGTTCCACTGATGAATGGTTCTTACCGTTAGAAAATTTCTCCTTAGTTCTAAGTTGCTTCTTTTCTCTGTTTAGCTTCCATCTATCGTTCTCTTGCCTTGGAGAATAGGTTGAGCCCTCTTCTTTGTGGTAGCCCCTCAAATATTGGAACATTGCCATCATGTCAGCCCTAGTTCTGTTTTTTCACTGGACTAGATGTACCCAGTTCCTGCAACTGTTCTTCATATGTTTTAGTCTCCGGTTCCCGAATCATCTTGGTTGCTCTTCTCTGTACTCATTCTAGAGTGTCAGCCTCTTTTTTAAATAGTGGTATAATCCAAAACTGGATTCAATATTTCAAGTATGGTCTTTACCAAGGCTTTATAAAGTGGTACTAGTACTAATGTAGACTTATAATGGAAAGTCTAGGGCCAAGTAGCATTTCTAGCTGCAACCCGTCTGCAGCTCTTGGATCAGAAAGCAGGCAGGAGGTTTTTGGCAAGTTTAACTCCTTTCAAAATGTGAAAAGAAACTTCCTTTGTCCCCACTCCAGCTGCCCCGTTCAGTTGTCCTGAGAGAAGCACCCTGCCAGCTTCCAAGCTGGAATCACGAGTGCGTTTGTGGTCTCTTGTGGAAAAATGATTGAGAATTTCCAACTGCGCAAGGCCCAGGCCAAATGAAAAAGCTTTGAATGAGGCACGTAGGAGCTTTTTATGGGTAAAACCTGTCTGAATGCCAAATGCTGTGAATTGAGGAGTTTTCCATGGCTCGGGTGCGTAGGAGAAACATGTGTTTAAGAACTTGGAAAGAGGTGCTGGTGGACAAATGCAGGAAGAGGACAATATGGCTTTGATCTAGGGCTGGGGGCTGGCAGCAGGCGTGGCAGATGGTGGGGGCATCTGTGTATTCTTTAGGCAGGCACTGTGTGTATGTGTGTGTGTAAGAACTGAAACGAGTTAGAAGAAACCATTTAATACCCAATAACTTTCGGCAGGACTTTGAAGTTAGTCTGATGCAGGGGTGGGCTTCAAAAATTTTAGCAACCGGTTCCCTGCCCGGTTGCTGGGTGGGCATGGCCATAGTAGGCGTGGTCTAGTTGGCCTCCTGCACCATGGCGGGGTGGAGGGGGCGTTTTAGCCCTCCCTGGGCTCTGGGGGCTTTCCTTGAGCCTCTGGGAGAGTAAAAACAGCCTCCCCCAGGCTCCAGAGGCCCTCTGGAGGCTGGAAATGGGCCTGTTTCCGTCCTTCCGGAACTTTCAGAAGGCCCGTTTTTCGTCCTTCCTTGTGCTCCAGAAGCTTTCTTTGAGCCTCTGGGAGGGTGAAAATGGCCTCCCCGGGCTCTGAAGGCCCTCTGGAGGTTAGAAACCTACTCCTAGTCTCATCATAAATAATATTTATTTCTCCCTAGATTATTTTATTTCGGAGCAAGGAGGAGAATTATTCCTCGTCTTGTTGAGAGTTGCTAGCTGGGTTACATGTGCAACTGCTTTCTAGTGGAGATCCATGTTTGAGAATGTATCTGCCTAAATTCCAGATACTCAGCAAATATTTTTTTTAAATGCCAGCTTCCCAGAATGTATACTGAATGGTTGTGGGAACTGGGTATGTCTAGTCTAAGGAATAGAAGGACTGGTGGTGATATGTTAGCAGTCTTCCAGTACTTAAAGTGCTGTCACAGAAAAGAGAAAACCTATTTTCCAAGGCACCTGCGAGCAGAACAAAAGAAGTAATGGGTGGAAGACCATTAAAGAGAGCTCCAACTTAAAATTAAGGAAAAAATTCCTGACAATGAGTAGACCGTGCTCCCTCACTGGAGGTTTTCAAGAAGAGATTGGATAGCTGTTTCTTCTTTAGTTATTTGTTTGTTTGTTTACTTATTTATTTAGCGTATGGTATATCACACATGAACTAGCAGTATATATTAACATTTCACTTAGATTAGTAAAACATAATATAATATAAATGTTAAAAAGATCTATGTTCAAATACCAATGTATTTAGGTCATCTAACTGTTGAAGAATAACATCGTTTATATTTTAAATAAAATCACATCCTACTTATATATGCCCTCAGTTTACAATCGGTCATGATGTAATTCTACAGTTTGATGTTAATTTTATAAATAAATAAATAAAATTTATAAATAACAACTGTTGCACCATCTCCATGGTCACGTGATTAGAATCCAGACGCTTGGCAACTGGCTCATGTTTATGATGGTTGCAGTGTCCTGGGGTTATGTGATCACCTTTTGTGACAGTCTGACAAGCAAAGTCCATGGGGAAATCAGATTCACTTAACAACCATGTTACTAATTTAACAACTGCAATGATTCACTTAACACCTGTGGCAAGAAATGTTGTAAAAGAGGGCAAAACTCACTCAACAACTATCTTGCTTAGCAATTTTGGGCTCAATTGTGACTGTAAGTCGAGGATTACCTGTACTTTGGAGATGTTCCTTTAATTGAATTCAATCAGCCATTAGATTAACATCCCTTTACTTCCCAGCTAACAATGCTGTTCCAAAACCTCCTTGGCATATTTCCCAGTTTGCAACAACAAAGCTCTGGAGATTTATGAGGAAATGTTCAATTTTCTTGGACTCTTCCCTGAAGTCAGATCCAAAATTGAGAATCATAAGCTGAATAAACATTTGTCCCTCAGAGGAAGTGAGCTTGATCTTTCTTTTAATTGCAAAGACAGACATCTCCCACATGTCAAGGCAAAGTAGGGCCTAGTTTGCACTTCAGAAACCACAGTGCGATTTGTTTGCTTTTAGCATAATGGATAAGTCTGTTCGATAAGTCCGCCACTGCTGTAGGTAGTCTGCTACTTACAACAGTTCATTTAGTGACCACTTGAAGTTACAAAAGCACTGATAAAAGTGACTTATGACCATTTTTCATACTAATGAGTAGTGTGGAAAACTACTTTTGATTGGGTAACAACAGATCTCACATCCCTCATTCAGCTCCTGCCCTCCCCCGCATGTGTTCTTCGTATAATAGGACAAAACTCACTTAACAACTGTCTTGCTTAGCAATTTTGGGCCCAATTGTGGCCATAAGTCAAGGACTACCTGTAGAAAGTTCTGATATGGTTTACTGTTTTTCGTACTTTTTGTTGTTGTTACTATGCAGTGGACGGAGTTGTTCTGTGATGGACAACTTCCTTGTCCTTTTCTATCATCATCCACAAGTTTGAAATTTTTTTTAGAAGACCCTCTTAGGACCCTCTTGGTTATTTGGATTGTTCTACAATCTAATTTCTGATTGAATCTAATTGCGCTCATGAGGAGAGCAATTAAAACTAGAGTGATGGCATTTGCATGGCATGCTAATTATGTGGCTGTTGCTTGGTTCACTTACGGTTCAGTGCCTTGCGTGAAACTCAAAAATGGGTCATTCCATGACCAGCTTAAATACATTCATGGGAACAGATCTCTCAAGGGCTATTGAGTTACGAAGCATTGGTGTAAGGCCAAGACACACGGGCAGGGTCTGTGCCAGACTGATGAAAGCTTTTTCTATGTGATTGGCAATGTACCATGTGGGGGGGAAAAAAACCTCTAGTTTGAGTGACGAACCCAGATTGGATCCTGCAACGTTATCCCAAGACACATACATTTGCCTTCATGCATTTTGGTTTTTTTGCCTGGACTTTGTCCGCATCCATAAATTGCATGCAATAATATCTGAAATGACATACATTAAAATGTGTGCTTTTTTTTTTTTTTTTGCAGGTTGCTATGCCTTTTTCTCCATCCTTGTGGACAGACAATGAAAGAATCTCTTTCTCTGCCTTGACCGGAACAGTTTGTTCAGAAGTATTGGAGGAATGAGTCAGTGATGTGGCCCTGAGAATCTTTTCCATATTCAAAATATACTTCAGAAGGTATGGTTTTCAACTCTGACTTCCTAAAATTCCAAGGTTCATCCGTTAGACCAGGATAGGCAGTTATCTTAATGGGTGGGTACCAGTGGAGAGGTTAGGAGTCACAGGAATGCCTGCTCCCCGCTACCCCCAAATGCATCCTCTTAAGTACCTCCAACATGGAGAAGGTTGAGCTCCTCCCATCATTTGTTGATGGAAAAATACAAAATAGATTTTAAAAGGAAGAAAGAATACCTTTAAGATAAACCTGTGATGACAAACCTATGGCACGCGTGCCGCAGGTGGCACGCAGAGCCATTTGTGCTGACACACGAGCCGCAGACAAACTTACCTCAGTGTCCATGCGTGCACCTCACAGCTGATTTTTGGCTAGTTTGAGGCCTTTTTCGGACTCCCAGAGGCTTGAAAAAAGCCTCTGCAGGCTGAATAGGCCCCTTTCGTCACTTCCTGTAATACTGGAAGTGATGAAATGGGCTTATTATTCGTCTTGAAAAGCCTTGCAGAGGCTTTTTTCAAGCCTCTGGGAGGCCGAAAAAGGTCTCAAAATGGCTGAAAATCAGCTATGACGCGCAGTGCAGGTAAGGGGGTGGCGGGGTGGGGGTGGCAGGAATTGCGCACGTATGCACAGGGAGCGTGGAGGGGGGGCACATTGCTTTCTGGGTGCTGGTATGTGAGAGTGCACATGCCAGCGCACACACAATTTTTGGCACAGGAGCCTAAAAAGGTTAGCCACCACTGAGATAAACCATTACATAGATAGTCCTCGAGTTATAACCATTTGTTTAATGACCAAAGTTACAACAGCACTGAAAAATCTTATGTACAGCCTGACTTTACATTTACAACTGTTGCAGCATCTCCATGATCATGTGATCAAAATTCAGGCATCTGTCAACAAGCGTGAATTTACAACAGTTGCTTGCAATTGTCATTTGCTGACCTTCCCAATTGGCTTCGACAAACTGAGGAAGCCGGATTTGCTGAATGTCTGAGTGATTCACTTAACAACTGCAGTGATTTGCTTAACAAATATGGCAGAAAAGGTCATAAAATGGGACACAACTCACGTAACCACCTTTATTGTTCAACAATGGAAACTCTGGTCCCAATTGTAGTTGTAAGTTGAGGACTACATGTACTGCCCTTCTTTTATTTGAATTATTTTTTAGGGATAGTTAGGCCTCATTAATAGTTATTACTTTAAATTTGAAGTTACAGATTTATCTTTTTCATCTCAACTCAACATATACCAGTAGTCTTCGACTTACAATAGTTCATTTAGTGACCTCTCAAACTTACAATGGCACTGAAAAAAGTGACACCAGAGCATTTTTCACAGTTACCACCTTTGTGGCATTCCCTTGGTCACATGATCAAAATTCAGATGCTTGGCAACTGATTCATATTTATGACCATTGCTGTTTCCCCTTCTAACAAGCAAAATCAATGAGGAAGCCAGATTCAGTTAACAACCAAGTTGCTAACTTATCAACTGCTGTGATTCGTTTAACAACTGAGTCAAGAATGGTTGTAAAATGGGGCAAAACTCACTTAAACGTTTCACTTAACAACAGAAATATTGGGCTCGATTGTGGTCGTAAGTCAAGGACCACCTGTAGAGTTGGCAGTATATATAATGACAGTAGCACAGAGATCAAATACTTTGAACAGGTAATAAAACAGATAAATATGCAAATCAAAACAGCAATAGTCTTGAAGAGTTATTGCCATCCCCTGGATGCTCTTCACTAGAGCTCATTTACTCCATAAAATACCTAAAAATATTCCAGTCAAGGCCTGTAGTTAGATTAGGAACATAATTGGCACAAGAAGAGAATTTTAGTGCGTAAGACATTCATATGGTAAGGGGGTATTTATTTATTTATAACATTTACATACCCGTCCATCTTATGTTCAATTGTTTTCTAATGATGTTAAGCCTAATTTGCCTTTTATTTCAACTTTGCATTTTATAAAATGTAAGTTCTGTTATCTCTTTTGAGTTTTGAAATCCCCTCGGTGCGGCTTGATGGAAATGGAATGATTTTTGTTTCCTCTTGTGGATCTGAGGTATTTATTGTGTACCTGAGCTGTAGACTTTTAACATGTCAGTTTTTAGAGGTTTTTTATTGTTATTATTATTCCAGTCTGGTAAGCTGTGGATTTCACCTCTTGATAAATTGTTCAGGAGTGTTTGGGACCTGACACAAAAGCACAGTGAGAATGTCAATGAAATGAGTCTATTGGTTCTGTATTGGAATGCTGCGGAATAACCTTGGATTACTTCTGGGGAATATATTGTACAGAAAAATTTAACTAGTTAAGGTTGTTGAGAAAATAATAATAATGGCAGATTGAATGAAGAAATATGCCATCAGTGAAATTATTTTCTCCAGTGGCTTTTAAAAAGTTATTATCTTTAGATCATGATAATTTATACAAAATGAATTTTCACATTGTGCAAAGCAATCATATCGGTTTAGTGTTGACTTTGAAGAGTGATTTCCTCTCCTTGTGTAGAGGACCATATAATCAAGGAATGCCTGTAAGTTCCTTTAGTTCTAGGAGTCCCCAAAAAACACAGACACACACATAAACACACACACATTCAGAGGCTGGATTTGGACATGCAGATATTTTGTCCTTGAAGTCAGTGACTCAACTATAGTCAAACAATTATTTGGATCTTCTCCAGATGTTTGGATAAGTTCTTTGTGTTTTCTATCAAGTCTCAGACAGCTTAAAATTGTCTTTAACCATTCTACTATTAAAGTACAACACAGTGTACTTAAAGTACTACAACACAGTTCTTTCAACAGTTCCAAGAAGGCTCCATACCCATTTGTACAACTCAGATGACCCTGAGGACACAGATAAACCCCCAAGTGGCCTCAACAACTCTCTAAGAATGCAAATGACCAGTTGTCTGCAAGGAGTATACATCTTTCCATTCCCCATCATCCAGTCAGAGCTGAAGAAGCTTCTTGGATGAGAAGTGAAACGTCTTCAAAGGGAAAAAAATGGAAGGTCCACTTGCCTCTTGAAAAAGCGACTTTGGGACCACCATGACCCGGATGACTGAGAATCTCCATAGATATGTTAAAGTAGACTTTTCTATTTAGACAGGCAATCAGCTACAATAATTTTACCACGAGTACCTCAGATTCACTTCACTGTCCACTGTGTTAGGTGACTCATATGGAGTGGGATCAATTTTCTTGGTTGCTTTAGACTTAAGCCATGACACATATTTTCCCTCCCTTGGGCACCGGTTTCCTTCTGCTCTGAGCTGTAGGAGTATCTGGTTCTTTTAAAACAGACATTTTCCTAGTCTGGGCTCTGAAAGTTGGACCCTAAGCCTAAACCTAAACCGCTGCTGATAAGAGGTGGCCATGATTTTGTGTGAGGATGTTACACAGTAGAACAAGTTATAGGCAGTCCTCGACTTAACAACCATTTGTTTAACAGCCATTCAAAGTTACAATGGCACTGAAAAATACAACTTATGACTAGTCCTCACACTTATGACCCCCAGCATCTCCATGGTCATGGAATAACATTTGGACACTTGTATTTACAACTTTTTTACAAATTGTTTAGTATCGCGAGCTCATGGGATTGCCATTTGCAGCCTTCCCAGGTGGCTTCCCCCAAGCAAAGTGAATGGGAGAAGCCAGATTTGCAAAAAAGCCTCATGGTTCACTTAACAACTGCAGCTATTTGTTTAACAACCGTGGCACAAAAGGTCATTAGTTGAGGATTACCACAATAGGCAGTCCGTGAATATGAGTTCCAACTTATGGACAAATTTGATTTAAAAAGCAGACTTAGGAACTAATCTCATTCTTAAACCAAGGACCACCTGTATCTTTAAATAAACATTCTAAATTCTAACCAGAATTGAAATTTTATTAAGCCATCTGTCTTTAGGTAGAAGAAAGATTTCCTAAACTGAAAATTCCTGCTTTTGAGTAATGACGTTTGTATTCTTTCGTCTCCAAAATCTGCCTCACTGTATACAGGTAGTTCTTGACTTACAACAGTTCACTTAGTGACTGTTCCAAGTTACAACGGCCCTGAAAAAAGTGACTGAAGACCATTTTTCACACTTATGACCATTGCAGCATCCCCATGGCCACTTGATTTACAGTACATTCGGATGCTTGACAACTGATTCAGTTTATGACGGTTGAAGTGTCCCGGAGTCATGTGATCCTGTTTTGGAACCTTTTGATGATTCACTTAACAACCCTGTTGCCAGTTTAACAACTGCAGTGATTCACTTAACAAACGTGGCAAGAAAAATCGTAAAATGGGGGGAAACTCACTTAACTAATTTTTCAGTTAGTGACAGAAATTTTGGGTTCAAGGGTGGTCTCAAGTTGAAGACTACCTGTATAGTATTTTGAAATACAGGTAGACCTCAATTTATGACCATAATTTCTGTTGCTAAGTGAGACAATTAACTGAATTTTGACCCATTTTATGATCTTTCTTGCCATAATATGTGAATCACTGAAGTTAAGTTAGTGACGGTTCTTAAGAGAACCTGGCTTGCCCATTGACTTTGCTTGTCAGAAGGTGATTACATGACCCTGGGACACTGCAACCGTCATAACTATAGTCAATTGCCAAGTATCTGGATTTTGATCATGTGACCGTGAGGATGCAGCAATGGTCATAAATGTGAAAAACTGTCAAAATCCACTGTTTTCAGTGCTGTTGTAACTTCAAACAGTCACAGAATGAACTATTGTAAGTTGAGAACTATCTGTGGTAGAATTTTTGAAAAAAATCAGGAATTTGTTTTGCAAACTCATCTCAAGTTCTGCAAAACTACAGAAAAGTCATATAAAGGAGGATGAGAGAGGTATTGATATCGGTTTTCTATATTATAACATGATTTACTCCTTTTTAAAAAACACATTTCTTCATTTTTCAGCAAAAGAAATGCAACTGGTGCTTTGGACGCTCTTATATCACTGAAGAAGTCCTTCTTCACCAATTTCCTCCTGTTGTGGATCGATCCAGCGCTGAAACTCCGCAGGCTTCTTCGGCTCCATCTTGTTTCGCCATCTCCAATGTGCCGCCATTTTGTTGTGGATTATCGGCCAGTCGTTCTGCGAGACCCTTGCGTTGCTTCTTCTTGACCAGAAAACTGGAAGGCAGATTGTGCCTCACCCTCCCTTCTCCTTGGATTTATACGTTTCTTCTCTCGGCTCTTCCTTTTCCTACCTCAAAAGCCGATTTGACAAAGTTTAAACATTTTCCAAAAACGGTTATCCAAAATGACAAGTCTGTTCCGACGGAGCAGCAGCAATGGCGGCTCGAGGAACAGTTCTTCCGCTCAAGAACTTAACAATAGCCGCCCCGCAAGGCAAGTACGGAGGCTGGAGTTTAACCAGGCGATGGAGGATTTCAAGACCATGTTCCCCAACATGGATTATGACATCATTGAATGTGTCTTGAGGGCCAACAATGGTGCAGTAGATGCCACCATTGATCAACTACTACAGATGAATTTGGACTGCAGCGAATGTGACGAGAGTTCGGATTCAGATGACAGCATTCCTCCGGAGGTAAACTCTGCCATGTTTTGGAATACAGGTAGTCCTTGAGTTACAACCATTCGTATAATGACCATTCAAGGTTACAATGGCATTGAATTTGAATTTTGAATTTGAATTCTTTATTGTTGTTGTACGTACATACGCAGTATACATACAACAAAATTCACACAACACCCAGAGACCAGACCCAACACACACACACACACACACACACACGACAATCCCCAAACACACACCCCCACCCGCCAAAATTCCCCACCCTCTAAAAACACACAAGCATTCATACAACAGACCAACGAATACTGTCCAACAGCTCACTGATGGTGGTCCTTAAGTTCATTGTTAAGTGCAATTACAGCTCTGGGATTAAAAACTGTTCAGAAAACATGTAGTCCAAGTTTTAATTGTTCTGTGTCTTCTGCCAGAAGGCAACAGTTCACAAAGATTGTAAGCAGGATGGGAAGAGTCTCTGAGAATGTTGTGCAACTTCCTCAAACAGCAAGATATCCTTTAACTCCAGGGCTGATAGCTGGAGTCAGATGATATTCTGGGCGGTTTTAATGATTCTCTGTAGAGCATTTTTGTCTGCTACCGAGCTGCTGTCATACCATGCAAGAATGCTGTATGTCAGGACACTCTCAATGGTGCTGCGGTAGTAGGACAGAAGTAGATGCTAAGATAGATTTATCTTCCTGAGCATTCTCAGGAAGTACAGCCTTTTCTGTGCCTTCTTCACAAGCATGTTAGCGTTGTTAGTTATTGTTAAAAGTGAATCATTTTTCGTACTGCCTCGGAGCTTTTGCTTGCAATGGATCTGTTGCTTGGAACCATGACATACAACTGTCGCAGCATCTCTATGGTCATGTGATCCAAATTTGGACAATTGGCAACTGGCTCATATTTATGACGTTTGCCGTGTCCCGGGGGAGCACATGTGATCCCCTTTTGTGACCTTCTCACAAAGTCAATAGGGAAGCCAGATTCGCTTAACAACCACGTTACTAACTTAACAATTACAATGAATCCCTTAACAACTGGGGCGAGAAAGTTTTTTTAAAGGGCCAAAACTCACTTAACTGTCCTGCTTAGCAGTGGAAATTTGGGGCTCAATTATTATGATTGTAAGTTGAGGACTTACCTGTAGTTGCAAGTTTGGCTGAACGTTTGAGGAAAGATTTTCGGAGAGATTTTCTTTTGTGCTAATTGTATGGGGTGGTGTTTCTCCAACCAGACCCAACTTCCATTTTAAGTGCCTCGGATGCCCATTGTGAGAAATTAAAATGGCGGTCAGGACAGTCAGTCCCTACTTCTCCTCCCAAAACTATTTTACCATCCAAATCCCAAGAATGTCCTCCAGTCACCCTCTGGTAATGATGGATCCCACCTTTATAGCATGTGTGAGGTAACCACAATGTGAGGAAGTGATTAAATTGTCCTTGGGTTAAACTTGATTAAATTGTTTCACTATGCTGCCATTAAGTTATTACACTACTGTCTGTTATTCTTTATAGTCTTTCTTCTCTTTTGATTTAATTTTTAAGTTCACTGCTAGAGCCACAATTATTGTTGGTCTAGTGGCTAAGGCACCAGGCTTTGTTCCAGACAATAACTGTTTTAGTAACTCATTTACCTTTTAAACAGCGGCAAAAGGAAATATCTGAACTTGTGTGGCAGGGGAAAAAAAAACCACGAGTTAAATGTCAGGAAAGACGAGGGTTGAGTTTACCTGATTTACACCTATATTTTGCAGCTCACTGTTTGTTTATGGTGGAAGAAGTTTGCTGCTGAGAAAGAGAAGCCTTTTGGAGTTAAAGGACATGACCTGAGATTTGAGTGGCACTGCAGGTGTTTTTGAGGATGGAATATGGGCTTTGGCACTCTCTGAGCTTGATTGTTTTCCTGCAGACATTTCATTACTAAACCAGGTAACGCCGTCAGTCCTCAGAGGGCACCAAGGACCCCACAGTTCCACTCTTAGCTTACAAATATGATCTTCTGTACAATATAGAATAGATACAAATCTAGGTTGTGCCCCAAAACATCTTTGGGGCTCTTAAGCACGCAAACAGGTGCAGTCCACCTTGTACTGCATTTCATTTCTCTGTTCTAGTTGGCTACTACGGTGTGCATCGTGGCAGGAATGCCTGCTAGCCTCTTGTCACTGCGCATTCATTTTACAAGTGAAACAGTGAAATTTTTCCCCCTTTTAAACAAAATCCAAAAATTGATGGAACAGTGAAATCTGTCTCTTTTTCTGTTTCATTTTCAAAAATTGAAGGCACAGGGGAAAGGTTAAAGGATGAACTTTGCTTTTATTTAAGCCACTGAAATTGACAAAAGTGAAATTGACAGAAATCTTGCCACTTTGTCCTTCTAGTTCAAATGACAGGAAAAATTGGAAAAAAATTTCCTCCCTCCCCCACACTTCCTTCCTAGAAGAATTTTGTCAGAGTATATTCGTGAACTGGAATAGAACTTGGTAACAAGGTCAGCCAATGAATAGGCATAGCAACTAAGTCAGTCAATGAGGACTGTTTTGGAAACTGAAACTAGAAATAGCCTAGGCTGGAAACTGAAACTAAAAGTAGCCTAGGAGTTGTTATATATTGAGCTCTGCAGAGTTGCAGAGTCTGTTTACTGAAGATGAAACTAACTTGCTTGCCTGCTTGCCTGCTGAAGACAGGAGCTCTGCTCTGAACTTAGAACATGTTTCTGTTTGAGGTTGCTCCATGTTGGAGAAATCTACAACTGGTTTGTAAAATCTACTTATATTTATAAAGATGTTAAATGAAGCATCAGCCATCTGTGTTTATTTTTCTGGTGCTGAATTATCGCTGCAAAACTCTCAATAAATTTGTTGATCTAAGCTGTGGTCAGTGAAGTCTAGACAGAACCTCAAAATGGCCAAAATGGAGGAGGAACCAAATTTCTTAAGCCAGCTTCATTTCCAGACAATTTATGCCGAGGAATACCAAAGCTTAAAGCTGCAGAATTTGAAAAGGCCCTACTTAACTCAATAGACATCTGGTAGAAGTCACAACGACATGATGATATCGTCAGTTCATCAACTTCTTCCGTTTGTGGACAGCCTGTATATCGTAGGGTTTTTAAGAGAGCTTGCTTGCTTAAGGAACTTGGTTTTTAGGCATTCCTGGATCATGAACAAGGAGAATTCCCCCACCTCTGCGAGATGACAAAGGCAAGCCAAAAAAGAAAAGGCAGAGAAAAGGGGTGAATGGGTGGGACACTGAAGCAACTGTGGCAAGATGGAAGGCATTTGCACACGCAGCTTGGCATCACTTCTGGGTTGGCACTGCCCTCATATTCTCACAGTGCCATCTTCTTTGGACAGCTGAACCAAGTTACTTTTGGCTCAAGCAAAGCTTGCAAGTGCAAGAGGAAGAAAAAAAAACCCACTATGTTTTTTCCACTGGCAGGATTTCTTCCCTAATCCCACCACCTTGGCTGTCTTTCTTCCTTAATGAGGCTAAGGCAGCCTGGGGCCGGGCTGAGGAACAGAAAAATGGTGTGGCATATTTTCCTTGGGAGCATTTATTTTAATCTGCCGCTAAATCCCTTGCAACCCCAGTTGAAAACAATGACATGAGACATTCTGATCACTACCACAGTACTACTACATTTGTGTCAGGAGCACCGAAGTGCTTCCAGGTTGAAAGGATTGAACAGTGACATCATGGATGCCTGGCGGATGCCCAGGTGGGGCTCCTTTCATGTCCTCGTTAAGTTGCCCACCAAAGTGGTACCCCATCTATCTACTTGCGTTCACCCACTTTCGAACTGCTGGGTTGGCAGGAGCTAGAGTATGGGATGGGAGCTCACCCCTGTAGCAGCAATCAGGACTCAAATGCAGAGCTGCTGATCATCAACCCAATGTCCTAACCATGTGAGCTACCACACTCCATTAGTGACTTTTGCATTTATCAATCCTCCTGGAGAACCAGGTATAAAGTACAACCAGATGAGCTAAATCTACTGTGTTGTAAGTGTTGAAAGGCTGTCAGAATGCCTTTCTTCTGAGGATTCGATTTTCCCGCTGGGAGAGCTCCGGTGCAAGGATACAGACAACTGCTTGAAAGCTGGATCTTTTTATTTTTCAGGAAGGCGAGAGATAGCAAGAAGTCTGCGTTCCTGGGCTAGCTAGCTTTGTATGATAAGTCCCTGATTTTTTATACCTTTTCTCCTTTTGTGTGTGTGTGCTTGTGCTTGTATTTCTTAATGTTTTAAATCCTGTCAGGGGTTGTCTTCATTTCTGCCGGAGGGTAAACTCCGCGGGGTGCAGAAGGCAAACTTTGCGGGGTGGTTTGATTGGATTATCGGTTTCATCCTAATCTTTTTTTTTGCTTAATGGTTTCTTATATTTGTTTTGTGGCAATCTCCTGTCTGTCTCCTTTGCAATATATTTTGTGTCTTTTGTCTGTTTGTTTTGCTGATTTGGCATGTCTTGTGTTTGTAAGGGTTTTCTTTTCTTGTTTCCTTAGTTTTCTTAATTATTTGGGCTTTTGTCTAAGGGGCTTCTTTAATACCTTTTATTTGATTCCTTTTCCTATGCAAGTTTGTTTTATGGCTGGCTTGATGTTCCCTTTGGGCTTTTCCTGCTTGGGTGACACCACTGTCCTCGTGAAGTTCCCTTTCCACATAAGAATACATTAATGGAATCTTGCAGGTCCGATGGTACTCATTTCTTTCCACCAGTTTTATTGGTCTGATCAATTAAGGAAAGTCCTTCTAGGTTTCTTTCTCTGACCGTTAAGCAACTGAGGGCTCCTCCTTCTCTTTTCTGATTGTCCCCCAAGGTTATCTGTACATTCTTCTACAGCATCCCCCCATTAGCCATCTGAAGGAAGCGGGATTAGGATGAGAATGGAAACAGGAAGAAGTTACAGGTAGCTTGGGAAGGATGGCTGTGCAGAAGTGCAATAATCTAATGCAATATTTTTCAGCCTTGGCAACTTTAAGATATGTGGACTACAATTCCCAGAATTCCCCAGCCAGCATGGGTGAGAAAACACTGCCCTAGAAGAAAACAGCTCTGTCTAAAGCTCTGTTTGTGCCCAATGCTTGGGAAAAGAGACAGCTGCAAGCAAGTTTGGGGTTGTGCAGCACACTGTCAACTATTTACGGGTGTGAAAATCTCCCAGCAAGTTGATAGCAGATGTCCTGCCTGCCAAAACACAGGCTGGATCCCAGCATTCCCTAATAGCTCCTGGCTGTGGGGTGTGGGTGTGTAGGTGTGATTGGGAGTTAGCAGGGTAGTTTAAGGACAAACTGTTGGCCCTTAGCCTAATTTTTTCAGGCCTCTGTGTGTTGTGACCCTCAGGTGAACAGCACTTTCCTTGTCAAACGTTAGGAGTTCATAATGTTGGTATTTTCAGTAAAAGCAGGCATAAGAAGGAGATCTGAATGCCTGTCAGACCGGGATATAGGTTGTCTTCAGTTTAGCATTACTGTAATCTGTTTAGATTTTGCTTTGCAAGAATTAAATGCCTTTGCAGAAGTTCTTTGTAGGAAAAGTTAACAAATTAGGGTTTTTTTGTGTGTGGGAGAAAAGGAGAACAATTGTTTCATGCAGAATCATCCAATGAACAATAAATATTTAATGTACATTGTATTGAAGCATCAGTGAAATCATATCAAATGTAATTTTCACGCTAGCTTGTTTTGGATTGTGGCCCCAGCATTCCAAAAGTCAAGTGTGACCCACAATTTACACACTGTTATTGTACAGGCTTGCTAGCTTTAGAAGAAAGACCAGCATTCTCTCATGGAATTATGGATTGCAAGGGCATAATTTGAGAGTTTATAGCTCCAATGTCTGTTTTTCCAAAATCCCAATCTCAACTGGAATTTCTTAATCTTAAACCCTAATTTCTTAAGCCCTACTCCAAAAATAAGCCCCAGTTAAGATTGTCAGCCAGATGGATGCATTTGTACTGTGTTTCCCTGAAAATAAGGCCTAATGCATCTTTTGGAGCAAAAATTAAGACCCAGTCTTATTTTTGAAGAAATACAGGTAGTCCTCAACTTACAACCGTTAAATGAGCCCACAGTTTTGGTCATGAATCGTGCCAGTTGTAACATGAATCACCATGTGACTGCACCCAATTTTATTATCTTTTATGCTGCAGTTGCTCAGCAAACCTATTTTCACTATTGGGCAGATTTTGCCAGAAATCAGGATTAAATGCCAGTACGGGGCAAAAATATTGTAAATCACAATTGTGTGAGTACAGGATGCTGCAAAGCACCCTAAATGCAAGCTGGTTGCCGAGCAGGCAAAATGCAATTCTGTGACTGGGCACGAGGGAGGTTTGGTGCTTCGAAACTGGGTCACAAAATAGCTTTGGGAAGGTCTGATAATAAATTCAAATGGTAAGTGATGGTCGTAAGTCATAAGGAGGTTGGGGAAGAACTTGGGTCAGTTCTGGAGCCTGGGGAAGGCTCTGATGGATGCTCAGCGTCAGACACAGAGATAGAGTCAGGTCCGTCCGGCATTTCCCAGTCTGAGAGGCAGCTGCCTGTGGAGTCAGAGATGAGTGAGGAGGAGGAAAAGCTGGGGCCTGTTCCAGATGTATGTATGTGCAGAGCAGATAGGAGAGGTGAACAACGGAGGACAATGAGTCGGCTCAGGAAGTAAAACAAACGTGGACACTGAATGGCTCCTCCCTGGTTGGGGAATAAACAGGAGGAAAGGGGAGTGGTTTGGTTGTTGCAGACAATGGTTCGCATTTCTAGAAAGTTTACTCCTTGTGTGTTTTGTGCGACAAAGACTGCCTTGCCAGAACTGAAGTTTGTCTATTTCTCTAAGTTCATTTGCAGCCTTACGGCTGGGAGTTTACAGCCTTGCATTGATCATAATGAGCTCTTTCTTCAGTTAACTCCTTGCAGGATTCTTGCCTGGACTTTCTCTTGGTGAATGCGGTTAACTCCCAATGTGTAAATAAAGAGGGGTTTTTCTTCGCAGGGAGCCTGTTTCTTGCTTCTGCGAAAGCCGGGTCAGAACAATATGTATATTTTTCTCATTTGGTTTAGATTCTGGAACGAACTTTGGAACCAGACAGTTCAGACGAGGAGCCCCCTCCAGTGTATTCTCCTCCTTCCTACGATATGCATATATATGACCGAAAGTACATGGAGACTCCTCCAGTACCACCACCCAGGTATGTAGGCATTAAGGTCCAGAATCACAGAGCTGATGGTCCAGCAACCTCAAGATAAGAAACCCAGCGGTAAAAACTTTGCCAGCAGATGTTTTCCCAGCCACTGTGGATAGGACTTTAATGAGGGAGAGATACCACAACTGCTTGAATCAGGAGTGTGTGGTTCTCCAGATGTTGATGAACAATAACTTATACAATAACAGGGATTGGAAGGCCAACATGGACGAAGCAGAGGAAAGATGGGAATTGTAGTTCTGTTTCATGTGGTAGACCAGAGATTCTCCTGCTTGTCTCAGATCAGGGGTGGGATGCAAATATTTTTACTACTGGTTCTGTGAGCATGGCCATGTGACCGGGAGGGTGTGGCTCTCCCCCCCCCCCACACACACACTCAGTGTTTTTGCTTCCTGGGCCTCAGGGAAGCCTCTTGGGAGTCTGTTTTTGCTCCTAGGAGGCTTCTCTGAGGCCTAGGAGGCAAAAATATACGGAGTGTGGGAGGGCCGCGCAGCACACACTTCGCACACCCCTTTTTGCCTCCTGGGCCTCAGGGAACCCTCCTGGGTGAAGCAGTAAGACAGCGAGAGGGATCCCAGCACAGCTGATCATTGGAACAGCTGATTGTTGGTAAGAAAAAAGAAATACCAGTTCAACTGAACTGGTAGCTGGTTTTTTATTACCAGTTTGGCCGAACGGTAGCATTTTCACCCAAACTGGGCTGAACCAGTATAATACCATCACTGTCTCAGATTGGTATTTAATACGGTTGGAATTTGATGTATGTGGACTTCAGATCCCATAATTCCATAGCTTGCCTTCAGAAATTGTGGGCACTCCATCGCTTGGAGTTTTTTAAGAAGAGTCTAGACAGCCACTTATCTGAAATAGTACAGGTTCTCCTGCTTGAGCAGGGGGCTGGACTAGAAGACCTCCAAGGTCCCTGGAAGCCATTCCATTCCATTCGCCGTTGATGAGAATTTGGGGAATTGAAGCCTACACACCTGGAAGTTGCCAGGGGAAGTGGAATTATATTATTGTAATTTGGTTTTTTCCCCCCCAAGCAGAACTGATATCCAAAATTCCAGCGGTTCACAAGCACAAAGGCGATATAGGGACTGGAATCCACCATTATTAGGGAATCTTCCAGATGACTTTCTCCGCATCTTACCACAGCAAATGGATACGGTGCAGGTGGGTAGTAGAAAACTTTTGTATTTAGAGTGGGTAGCGTATTGCCCAATGCATAACACGTTGGACTGTAACATCCAATTATAATCTGCTACAGGTCCGCAGCAGGTGTGATAGTTGTTTTTTTTACACACAATCTCTTTCTAGAGCGCCCAAAACTGCCATCAAAGCACACAGAGTCCTGGGAACCAGAGCGCTCAGGGGTCATTGGATCAGGAGAAGAAATGGAAGCAGTATTTGGAAGATGAACGGATTGCTCTGTTCCTCCAGAATGAAGAATTCATGAAGGAACTTCAGAGAAATCGAGATTTCCTCCTGGCCCTTGAAAAAGGTAATTTCAGGAATCCAAATATTAAAAATAGTCACCTTCTCCTCTCCAACCAATGTGTGACAATCTTGATTTTGCCAGTATGACAATGTCAAAGATATCAGGGCATGTTGATAGTCCTTGACTTATGACCGTAACGGAACCTGCCCAACTTGCCATTATGGTCATAATAAGCTGTGATGGTTGTAAAGTGTCACACAACCAAGCCAATTGTAGAAGCTTTTTTTTGGTGATCATTAAGTGAACACTGCAGTTGTTTCAATTTCATTGTACGCATGTTGTACATTGACAATAAACTTTTGATTTGATTTGGTTAAGTGAACCAACGGCTTGTTATGGGGCTGGTTTGGCCAAACCCAGGAAGTAACTTTTCAACAAAACCATCGTAAAATGCTGTCACATGGATGTGGGATGCTACAAACGGCTGTAAATGCGGCCTGGTTGCTGAGCACCCAAAATGCAGTCACATGACTGGGAGGGGACTGACCATTGCAACTTGAAATCTACGTCATAAGTAGCCCCCAGGTGGGTCCGTTTGAATGGTCACTACGTCATAAGTCAAAGAGTAACTGTGTTTTATGAATATTGTAGTACTGGCGTTTTTCTACTGCAGTGGTGGAGGTTCATCCTCCAAGCTTGTATGTTTGGTTTCCAAACATTTCATTACCAGCCTAGGTAGCATCTTCAGCAGGGTTTAGGGAATGTCTGTGTTCTTCTGCTGATAAAGGCTTTGTGTGGGCCATAGGTCTTCTGATGGGTCAGGAACGGGTGTCAAGTGAGCATTTTCTAATGGGTCTTGTGATGGAGAGGTCATGTCAAGTGAAGTGGTGGTTGAGGGGGTGTTGTGTCAGTGGAGGGATTCAAATTTTTTTACTACCGGTTCTGTGGGGGTGGCTTGGTAGGCATGGCAGAAGGAGGATACTGCAAAATCCCCATTCCCTCCCCAGCCCACTAACCTGCTTTCCAGCTCTGTTCTCCTGTGCAGGGCAACAAAAGAAGACCCAGCCGATCAGTTGGGACTCAGGAGGCAGAGAAGAGATGAGAGAAGGGGCCAGTCAGAGGTGGTATTTGGTGGTTCTCCAAACTACTCAAAATTTCTGTTACTGGTTCTCCAGAACTGGTCAGAACCTGCTGAATAGCACCTCTGGTTGTGTGGATTGGTTGTGGGTCAGTGCCATTGTGTGGTTGATTTGAATTCTGAAGGGGTTCCTAGGCTGGTTGTGTTTTACTTTTTTCTACTGTGTTGTAGTTAAATTCTTGATCACGTTGCTTTACTGTTAACCGCATGGTGTCCTTTATCTAGAAAGTTAGCTGGGCAATATCCTTTCAAACGTTTGTTTTTCCTGTGCTGTCCTCTAGATCGGTTAAAATATGAATCAAAGAAATCCAGAATGAACAGCGCTGCCCTCAGTTCAGATCCCGCTTTGTCCTCAATATTATCAGGTAAGCATGTAAGGCTGTATTGCATCTCTGTTGCCAAGGGTACCATTAGTTTTGTGGCTCGATGTTGTACTAAGTCAGGGTTGTCAAACTTGAGGCTCCAAGAGCGGGATGCATCCCACTCTGGCCACGCCCATGTCCGGTTTAGCAAAGGGGAAAAAAGCCACGATATAACATGTGACGCTGCCGTTATGCTGTGAGTTTGATACCCCTGTACTAAATTGTCTTGCAGTATGGTGGTTGATTGGAATGCCCCTAAGACATCAGCCCATGGGTGGGACTTGAATTGCAACAATCTGCCATCTTGCAAAATTTGATATTGTCCCCTAGGAACGATCAATTAGAATAGAGCTGGAAGAGACCTTGGAGGTCTTCTAGTCCAACCCTCTGCTCAAGCAGGAGATCCTATACCATTTCAGACAAGCGACTGTCCAGTCTCTTCTTAAAAACCTCCAGTGATGAAGCACGTAGTAAAACATAGTCACCAAACCAGTAGTAACACCGGTTGAATCCCATCCCTGAGAATAACTCCAATTCAATGATATTGTACAAAAATCTTCTGCCTTGCCAGAAAACAAAAGCCACACGCTTATTGTGAGGTATTTTTTTTTACTGGACATTAAAGAAAATACATAAACAAGCATAGAAATAGGCAAGGATGGATAAAAAGTAAAAATTCAATGAATGAACAAGGAATTCAGAAATGTCTCAGGGAGATTATAATTTTCTTCTACAATATAGCTAGTTGTAAATAAACAAGTTCAAATACTGACAAATATACTTATCATTGCTATAAATCAGATACAGATTTTTCCTTCCAGTGTTGAATCATCATGTTGAGTAAGCTCCCAACAAATTCTGTAAAGTAAATTAAACTTGTTTTTTTTTTAAGTCTGCTTTTTCAGAATTGAGCTGATTCACAAAAATATTTTGAGTGGCCCAGTTTACTGTAAACCAGAGGTGCTTGCTCTCTTTACGTGGCATTGCCCTGCAGTATAAATTTCTTATGAGTAATTAATCAAAATGATATTTATTACTCAATGTTTTCCATTAAAATCTTAAGATTGCAACAATTGCCAGAATTTCAGTGAGTCCAATAATTACTTGAAAAATTGAACCCAAAAGGAATTGAATTCTGAAGTTTCTTATTCCAGACTGGAGTTTCTCAACCTTGGGGACTTTAAGATGGGTAGACTTCAATTCCCAGAATATCCCAGCCAGCTATTCAAAGACGATCTATGCTAAATTTCTCTCTTTTTTCTCAATATCATGGTGCAATATACTAACGATTCTGTTTTGGAAGAGAAAGTTTATTTTAAAAAGTTTATTTTGTTCCCTTAGTAGGGAATAAACATCTATGTTGGTTAGTAATGAATGACTTGCATTTAAGGGTAATCATCCTTTAACATTTACCACTTTAAAACATTATCTATAGCCAGTTGTCACTTCATCTCATAAGTGCTTATTTTAAGTTGATCACAAGATAAACACTTTGATTGTTCTTGTATCAAGGCAACGATTTAACTAAGTCTCTGTTAATACAAAAATACCCTGTCATTTCCTGTTCCATCTGCTTCATAAAGATCTTTCTTTCAGCAAAGATTTTTTTTTCAAGGAGCTCTTCAAAATTTATTTGATTTTTTTTCCCCCAAATGGAAAATATTTCATAAGACCATGATCTGAAACTGTAATCCGTTTTACATCGTATTGGTTTTGATTTCAAATGTCAGAATGAAATATCAGGAAATTAGCTAATCAAAAGCAATTGCTGTGTACGGATAAAAGGAAAATATTACTATGTTAGAAGGGATTACTAACATACCAAATACCCAAGGTATTATAAATCACAGGGCTTTTCCACAGTATGGGCTTAGGCTGTTCCAATCCAGAGCTTTAATCAAGTGGGAATTAAATCATCTTAATATGTTTCTTTCTGGATTTCATCTCCTTCTGTTTTGGCATTCTGGTTCTCACTTCCTCTCACAAGAAGTGTTGTCACAATTGGCATCCGATTTTCTATTGCCAAACAAGTTGTTGTTAAGTGAGTTGTGCCCCAATTTTTGACCTTTTTTGTCACAGTTGTTAAGTGAATCACCGCAATCGTTAAGTGAATCATGCGGCCTTTAAGCAAACCTGGCTTTCCCCCTTGACTTTGCCTGACCTGGGATGTTGCAATGTCCTCAACTTACAACAGTTCACTTAGTGACCGTTCAAAGTTACAATGGCACAGGAAGAAGTGACTTATGACCGTTTTTCACAATTGAGCCCAAAATTTATGTTGTTAAGTGAGATATTTGTTAAGTGAATGTTGTCCCATTTTATGACCTTTCCTGCTTCAGTTGTTAAGTGAATCACTCCTGATAGGTTAGTAACCCTGTTGTTAAGTTAGTAGCCTGGTTAAGCGAATCTGGCTTACCCGTTGACTTTGCATGTCAGAAGGTCACCAAAGGTGATTGTCAGGGCTCCAACAAATCCACCCTCATTCAAATAAAAGTCTCTAGCCGCATTTTAGAGAAAAGTAAATTGGTTTATTAGAGGTTGCCATGTTGGCACGTGGCTGGGTACAGCCAATACTAAATTACATCATACATTTCCCCCTGGACCCTGGTCTTCCCCCCACCGCCCCAGATGTGACTTCTCCAATGGGACACATCTATCTCCAATAACTTTCTTATGCTCCGACAACTTTGGGCTGCTGAAGTGATTATCTAGGCACTTAAGGAATGCACTGTTTTCCCCAACTCCCTTTTTCTTGGCAGCTAAAAAGACCAAAGGAGTATCTTTTTAGCTGACAGTGATAATTTGACGCTAGCACATTACAACCATCATAAATGTGAGTCAGTTGCCAAGGGTTTGAATTCTGATCATGAAGATGCTGCAATAGTCATAAGTGTGAAAATACAACCATAAGTCACCTTTTCCAGTGTCATTGTAACTCTGAACAGTTACTAAATGTAAACCAAGGACTACCTGTAAGCATAATCTATATATATAAAAGCGAAATACCACTCATGGATCACCACAAAATCTCCAGAACCTCAAAGCCTACAAACTTGAAATTTGGCATGTGTGTTCCTCTTGGCTCCTAGGTGCTCACTAAGAAAGGATTTTTCAAAATGACCACCACAGCATTAGCATTTCATATATTACTCTTAACACGCTCTGATGCTAAGGAGTTCTACTCCCCCTCCCCACCTGAAAAGAAATTTGTTCCAAATGCAAAACACAAGCAGAGGAGGGGAGTTTCTGTTTGAGTTTTAGTTTCACAGCAGCAACCAGCTTTGGTACAGAACAGTTGAGCTAAGCCAGGCCCAGGCTTTAGCAGATTTAACAGATAATCAGAGTTGGAAGGGACCTTGTAGGTCATCTAGTCCAACCCCCCACCCTACTCCATTTCTGACAAATGGCAGTCCAATCTCTTCTTGAAAGCCTCCAGTGATGGAGCACCCATAACCTCCAAGCCTCCTTGCTGTCTCCTTCTTGCTCACACAGCAAATACTCTTTCAGTTTCCAAACAGCCCCCGACTCTCTCACACACTGACAGGATGCTAGCCAGATGAATACTGATGGATGCTGGTAGGCAGAGGCAGAATTTTCCTCCCTCATTTTCCTCCCCCAAAACTAAGCCCGACCACATAGTTTTGTAACGAAGCACAGGTATCGAGCTAGTAGTAATATGTAAGGAGAAGAAAAAGAATCAATCCTCTTCTTTCAACAGGAGCTTAAATAGGTAAGAAGTTTTACCTCCCACATGACAGAAAATAATTTTTGAGTGTTATAAAAATTTCAAAAACTGATCAAATATCGAAGGGTCCCCTCAAGGAATATTTTTTTACAGCATTGAATATCTCTCTAAATTGCTGAAGTACCTTAATGCCATCTGGGAAGCGTTACCAGTATTTTTTTTATTTTCACACTCAGTTATTCAGACAGGCGTTTCTCAAAAATTGTATTCCTCGTGGCATGTTTTAAGGAAGTTCAAGTCTGAGGCTTGCTGAAAGAACAAAAAAAATGTTTTTTTGCGCCTGACAGAAGGTAAAGGTAACAAGATAAGAATGCAAGCAATAAATTAACCGCCTTAATGGAATGGGCCCATCTGCAGTTTAGCCTTTGCACTGGGACCTCTGGAAGTTGTATGGTTAGATAATAGTTTATCTGTTAAGTAAAGAGAAATAAAGATATGAAAGGTTGTTTTGTTTATTAATCACATGGCAGAAACTGAAATAGAAGAGATGGAAGAGTAAGAAAGTCCTTTTTTCCCCAGCAAGTGCCGCAAAATTCATTGAATTCATCTGAACCACAAATAGGCAAAATTCATTGAATTTCCTGAGGAATTCTGGGAGTGGAAGTTCACACATCTTAAAGTTACTGAAGTTTAGAGACACTGCTCTATAACAGTGTTCATAGAAGGCTAGGAATCTAGAAACAGGGGTGGGATTCTACCAATTCGGCCCAATTTGGGTGAACTGGTAGCTTTGAAGATCAGCTGAGAGCAACCGGTTCGCTCCGATGATCAGCTGTTGGGCCCACGCACCCACCCTGGCTCTAGTCTGTGCTTTATTTCTGGGTTTTCCAGCTCAGCTGCTTCGCGTGGTACTGCGGATTGCCACACGTCCGCTCTTTTACACAGGGCTTGTAGTAAAAGATGAGTTGCAAATGCTGTGTGCACGCAAAGCACACACTCACCAAATGGATTGTTATACCGGTTGAATCCCACCCCTGTCTAGAAGGCAATGGTTGAATCCCACCCC